AATAAACTACACAAGTGAAACTTTGAATATGCAATAAACTTTAGTGATGGTTAACGATTGCACATTAGCTTCAGAAAAAAAAGTAATATAGAAAATTTATATGTAGATATATCAAAAGTTTTGACATATTTCACAACTATCACTTATTTGTAATATTAAAAGCCTATAGAATAGATAGCAAATTCGACAGTTGGATTGGAGGTTACCTAAGAGATCAACATTTGAGTAATAGTTATTGTGGTACATACTCAGAATGGATAATAGTAAATAGTGGAGTCCTCCAGTATTTATTTTTATGGTATATTTTAATGATTTTTCTGATTTGGTTTTGAATGATGTATTTGCAGATGATACTAAGTTATGCAGTTTGTTTTCTGAAAAGTCACCATGCAATTACCTGCAAAAAGATAAGGACATTATAGCAAACTGGGCAAAACTATGAAAACTGTGTTTAAATGTAAAAAAACGTAAAGTTAAGTCCTTACGATCAATAGAGACAAAATTCATTTATATACTTGTTGATACAAATCCTAATACTTTATTTAATCTTTAAAACTCTCTTGTCATAAAAGCTTTGGAATCTTTGTTGACAGTTGTTAAACTTTTCTTCTATTCTAAAAGTGCAAAGAATAACACTGCCGATAAAATTGTCGGAATTATCACAAAATCATTTGTAAATCTCAATATCTTGGCATTTGTACTTTATTTGTCCAGATCTTGAAGGAAAAACAAGAAAAATCATTCTTGCAACTCTTTTTACTATCTTAAGCTTTAAAAAGATCAACACTTATTTGAAATTATGCAAGTTTAGCAAATCTGTTTTTGGTCTGACTGGACTTACTTTCAACTAAAGACTACTGAGACTAAATTTAACTAGCATGATCTATCGGTTTTTACGTAATTACATGAAACTTATAAATACATTCTCAATCTTTATAAATGTAGTTAAATTCCAAAATACAATTCAGTATTTTATCCATTAATACCTGCGGTCACGCTTATAAATTTAAAAAATGTTTTGTAAGACAATTTGTCCAGAAAAACATTTATTGTATGCAATTCGCATATATGCAGAGTAGTCAACCATCAGAAATTGTATGTTCAACATCTGTCACAACGTTTTTAAAACATCTAGATGCATATTGGGAACATTAAATGTACAATTGCATATAAACGATTAGACTTACACTAGTAGACGTAATAAAACAAAGTGGTTGATAGGCTTTTTTTAAATACCTAGCAATTCGATTTATAAAATTATAACCTTATATAACAATAATAACATTAACATTATGATAGATAAAAACACTTAAAATAGTTATTTGTATAAAGACACTTTAAAATCCTCCAATGTTAACTTCGATGATATATCATATTTTTATGAAGCGAACTCTCATACTTGAATAACAAATGTTATTGTCATTTTTATAAATCGTAAATAGTAAAGTTATACAATTTACTGTATGTTTTGCAGTATTATTTCTGCAGTATGCCAGTAAATTTTTTTTGTTATAAAATAAATGTTTTTTTTATTTTAGAAAAAAAATTTATGTAAAATTAAATTTCTAATTTTTTAATTACCGATTAATTTTGGTTTTATTTTTTTAGTGATGTAAAATAAAAACACTTCATTTTAGTGTTCCATAGTTGAAAAAAAAAGTTCATTCTATACCTGGCTAACTCATTCAATTGAGCATGAGATGTTAATCTTAATTAAAAAAATAACGTTGTGGCAAATATTTAACTCTTCCTTTTTGTCATACTTTAATAAGAAAACGTTATTATGGAAACCTTTTCAAACCACTCAAACTTTAAAATTTACTTTCTTTTAATAAGCAATAATCTAAATCTACTTAAAATAAAAAGCGATTACATTTTACATTAGGAAATGAACCTCAATAAATTTTAGACTAATGTTTTCAGTTAGAGAAAACAATTATCTAAAGAAAAAAAGTTAATCTGAAATTTTTTTTATTATATATTTTATTTTCATAATTTTTTTTAGCTGTAGTATCCTTTAAATAAAGATGGCAATAAAGTTTAGAAAAATTGCTCGGGCTAATTTTTTCAATGAAAAAACAAAAATATGTGTGCCATGAATGTAATCTATTTTTCTTAGCTAATCAATAAAAGTTTGGTGTATTGGCCAAATTACTTTCAAGCATCTTCCATTAGGCTGCCTTACCTTAAGCCGCGCTTTTGAAAGTAACTGGATGCAGCTGAAATAAAGAATTTATTTATTTTTTTGATATTTTACTTATATACAGTATTATTTTTGCTAGTTTAATTTTAAGTTACACATCTGCAAAATGCTTATGATCTAATCAGCTATATTTGACCCAAATATAGTAACTGTTATTTGTTTAATATGGTTTCATATTTTCTTTATTTTTTTTTTTTTTTTTGACAATTAGAGTATACATCGTGCATTGAAATTCATGTTGTTAGTGATGAAGAAGAATTATCTATGCCTCCATCCTAAAAGGTTAAAGGGTACAAAAAAAGTAACACTGATAGTGTCTATTAGTTTTTCAAATATTGAATAATTCTTTAGTGTTTTAGGGTTAAGTAATTCCATCAGAGCTTTGCTCGACCATCTCTTTCAGTTTATCGAATTTATTTGCCGGTTAAAGATGGTAAAAGATCTTCTAAATCGCGAAGAAAAATTATGGAACAAAGACACCTGAATAAATATGAATAAATATTATCCATTAGCGAATTGATATTAAATAACTGTTTTTGGAAAGAGTTCAATGTACTTATAAAAATTCTATTTTCTAAAATATTTGATACATTCATATGAAACATACAAACAAATTATACAATATGACATATGATTGATTATAATTATGTTGTATTTAAGAATGTTTTATATAAACGCATATAATATTTTGGTGTAATTTGTATCTTTTATACCCAGTTAGCAATGCATGATCTTAGACATCTTAGACGTCTTTAGGGTGTATTCACTACAGCTTTTTGATGTGGTGAATACATCCTAATTTATTTTCTACTGTGTAATTGTGGTCAAGGTTAGGAGAAAGCGGACAGACTTGTATGAATAAATATATCTTTTATAAATATAGCCTCTATAATTTTTTTTTCATTCATATCTATTTCGTATAACTTGATATGAATTTAATGATTTAAATTTATTTTTTCTTAAAGCGTGTTATATGAGCGTGTCATTGCCATCTCCAAGACTATAATGATATATATATAAATGAAAAATGCAGCCTGGTACTATGGTATTATTTAAACAAAAATACTGCTTAAAAAATTAATTATTAAATATTTGTAGACACGAATATTTTTTATTAATTTTTAAAAACAAAAACTTAATCTGAAAAACTCAATACATTGGCTAAATATAATTATATAAAGGGATTATATTGTAAACTATATTACGTCAATATTGGCGAGTATTATATCTCTATTTTTGGGGCGATATATTAAACATTATTGCACCAATATTGCAATTTGAAAATCTTGTCATTATTAGCCTATATTGACTTTACAAAATTGGCCCAATATTGTACCGCCAATTATGTCTTTACAGTATTTGCGTTATATTGTAGCGCCAATATTGGGAAAATGTTCACATTGAATATTATCGCGATATATTTTATAACATTGCGTTAATATTGTAGACAATATTGCCCCTAAATTCCGCCAATATTGTTTGCTTCTTGGGTAAAATTTATCCCTGAAAAATAAATACAAAAAGCAAAATAAACCTGGAAATGTATTTTTATATAACCCTCAATAAATCTACAATGTTTCGACTAACAAAGTAAAAGTGTTTTTAAAATTGGTCAATACATCTATGCTTGGTAAGTAATTTTCTTCTAGTTTATTATTGCTCTTAAACCAACACTTAAAGATATTGCACAAAAAATGAAAAAAACTGTTTTTATGTTGCGTATAATAAATAATCTATCTTGTGATGTTTTAAAACTATTTTTTTAAGTAAGAAACCAATAACACACTTTTAAAAAACATTGAGTTTTTAAAGAAACTTATCTTAAATAAAAATTTATTTGACTTTCTGTTGTATTATTAACCCCTTTTAAGGATTTGCTATACCATGTTTTGATCCAACAATTTCTATTTTATTTTAAATTGAAAAGATTTTTTTTTAATAAACAATAATTTATGATTAAAATTTTTTATTTTATTCATGTAAATTTCTTTTAAATTACTTTTCTCTACATGCCTTTTGACTAGCAAATGTATAACTATTGTCACAGTAACACATGTTATTATGACATTAGTTAAACATTTACGACATGTTATTATGACAATAGTTAAACATATATATATATATATATATACATATATATATATATATATATATACATATATATATATATATATATATATATATATATATATATATATATATATATATATATATATATATATATATATATATATATATATATATATATATATATATATATATATATATATAAATTTATATATATATTTATATAAGTATATATATATATATATATATATATATATATATATATATATATATATATATATATATATTTATATATATATATATATATATATATATATATATATATATATATATATATATACATATATATATATATATATATATATATATATATATATATATATATATATATATATATATATATATATATATATATATATATATAAGTATATATATATATATATATATATATATATATATATATTATATATATATATATATATATATATATATATATATATATATATATATATTTATATATATATATATATATATATATATATATATATATATATATATATATATATATATATATATATATATATATGTATATATATATATATATATATATATATATATATATATATATATATATATATATATATATATATATATATATATATATATATATATATATATATATATAGTTATATAAGTATAGAATTAAATTAAAGTGAATATTTTAGTTTACCAAAGCATTCAGAGTTGTTGCCAGAACACCACCTAAGAATATTTGATTCATTAAATCCAGCACTGTAGGTGATGTAACAATTTGATTCTAATTGATTAAAAAATAAAGTTATAAGTTTTGAAATATAAAAAGCTAATTGTAAAAACCTTTCCTCAATAACCTTTTACTTAGTTATAAACCGGTGATCATAAATCTATTGGAAAGTAGTTATATAATCAATTGTATATTCATCATTTATTTGATATTTAAGAAAAGAACAAATAAATTTATATAACTATCATTCTAAATTTTTTTAACCGTTAACTTAATTTTTTTTAAACTTTAGGCAAACTAGGGCGTTATGGTGTAACCATTATACTTCCCTCATTTTTATGATTTTTGGTTCAACATGGAATAAGATTGCATATAAATCATGGTATAAAATTAAAAATTTTGCATTTTAGACTTATATTAAGCTATATATGAACGGCTGGCTTTAGTGTCAGTGACTCTGCAGGCATTAAAGACCACAAATTTTGCCTTTCTTAATTTCTAACTCAAATAGTCTATTTTACTACTTATTTTCCAGACAACCCATATCCCTTTCGACTCAATTTGTATCTTGTTTCTGATCCTAGTCAGTGCTCAGTTTTTCTAAATACCTCCTTAGGTGTTTTTGATCACGGTCTATTTCTTTCTAAATCAATTACTTCAATACTCTTCTTTATCAGAATCCGACTATCATCGTAACTCAATTACCTTAAAGATAACTGGGACTTTTTTCGTGATTATCTTTGTGATAGCCCTTCGGTAAAAATCTTTAGTCTTCCTGTTAACAATTTACTTCTTACATAACTTTGTGCATTCAAGCTGTCATCGAACCTTTTATTCCCTCTCAGCAAATCTAAGTCAAGACTCACTCTTCTGCATGCTTTTCCTCACATTTTGCTGCTGCAGTTGCCATTCAAAACCGTTACTTACATATATATCAGCAAAATAATTATTCTGAAAATAAAAGTCTATTTACTATTACTAGAAACGATTGTAAAAACGTTTTGTCTAACGTCAAAGCCCGCTATTCTCAAGTCATGAAATCTCGCATTTTGCCTCGAAAATTAGGCTTTTAAGACTTCTGGAGACTCTTTAATAGTAACAATAATAAGGACAAATCTGTTTTTCCACCTATGTTGTATAGTTCAGATTTTGTAACTTCACTCAAAGAAAAAGCTAAACTGTTTGCTAAGAGCTTTTAGCAATATTATCTTATGATTCCACTATTTGTGTTCTAACTGATATAGCCATTTAAAAAGGTCGATCCATTGCTTGACGTTTGTATTATTCCAGCTTTGGTATTTAAAGTGATTTACTGCTTAGAATCTTATACAGCTTGTGGCCTGGACAACATACCTGTTATGGTCTTGCATCAAAGTTCTCCGTTGCTGTTGTCTATCCTTTCAGAATTATTCAACAAATGCTTATCAGAGTCTTACTTTCAAGCCTACTGTTATCCCTATTTTTAAAAATTCTGAAGAACAACCTGATTTATATCTTTAAGATTATTAAATCCTTCCTTTTTAATCACAGCATAAATATTGTTCTTGATGGACAACACTCTTCTTCGTATTCTGTAACTTCAGGGGTTCTTAAAAGTTAAATCCTTGGCCCAAAACTTTTTTTAATTTACATTAACGATCTTCATATTCTCACATCTAGGTTAGCATTGTTCGCTGATGGTACTACCATTTGTTCTTGTGGTGATAAGAAAACAACACTGTCTGATTACTTGGATGGAAAATTGAGCTTAAAAAAGATCTCCTTTCTGCTACAACAATGGGCTCACAGGGGTTGTTGAATTTTAATTCCAATAAAACTAAATTTTTTCATCTAATTGTTATCGCAATAAATTAGACCTTCCTATATTTCGAACGATAATGTATTTGATGAGTCATCTACTTTTCATCTTCTAGGAATAACTCTTTCTTCTACTCTTTGTTATTGCAAATTGCATCTCTTTATCAAGCTCGACACTTTCTTTCTCCGGATTCTATTCTCTATCTCTATAAATCTCAAATCCGATCTTGTATGGAACACTATTGCCATATCTGGGGCGGACTATTGCCATATCTGGGTTAATGATGACCTTTCTTTTTTAGACAAGATGTAAAAGCGCATTGTAAACATAGTTGAACCTGCTCTTGCAGCCAATTTTCATCCATTATCACATCGTTGTAATGTTGCTTCTCTTTCTCTTTTCTAAATATACTATAACGGGCACTGCTCTAAAGAGCTAGCGTCTCTTTTGTCATCTACTAAAATATATTCTCTAGTTAATTATCATTTAAATAAGTCTTATCTTTTTTCTGTGACTGTTCCTAAGTGCTCTAAAAACTCATATTCTTCTAGTTTTCTTCCTCAAACATCCGTTGTTTGGAATTCGCTTCTTTCTATTTTGCTTTCCTGATTTATATAGTTTGCAATCTTTTAATTCGTCTGTCAATCGTCTTCTTGCTATACAATCTTCATTTTTTCTTTTCCAGTATCTTCCAACTCTTAATAGTGGTTGCTTGCAGCCTTGTTGGAAGAAAAGATGTTTAAAAAAAAATAAAATAAAATAAAAATATTGAGACAAAGTTTTTGAAATTAAAAACTTTGCCTCATTTATAAAACCTGGCATGTTTTTTTCAACAAACTCTATTTACATAGTGTATCTGAATGTTTTTAAAACTTGTGATATCTTTTTTTTCTAACTGTTTTATTCTTCATTTTCTGAAAAAAATGTTTGATAAAAAAAATGAGCAATAAAAGAAGCAAATAAAAGTAGTTGTTGATCTATTTTAAATTCTTATATAAATTTTAAAGGACGACAAACTTTTTTTTTTTTTAGTGAGACACATTTTTATTTGGATTTAAACGCAAAAAAAATTATTGAATGCTTTATTTTTTACAAAGTTAAACAGAAAACAACAAGTATTAATAAAAAATAAGGATTTAATTTTTTTGGCATACTGGCACTTTATATTCACTTTATATTTTTGGACCTTATTATTAAAAAAAATGAAAACGATACTAAATTGAACTAAACGATACTGTTTCAGGAAAAAAAGGACGTTAAAAGAAGGTGGTATAAAGCGACAATTAAAAGGAAAATTTTAAAATGTTGTAGATTTTAAAATTGTACAACCGAGGAAGGCAACCATTGAAAATCACTTGACCAAATAAAAAATATCAAAAAATCACAACTTTTTGTTTATAATTTAAAAACTACATAAATGTATGACTCTGAAAATTTTTTAATTTTTACTTAAAGTAGGTGGAATGCCTGTTTGCAAACGGAAATTTTTTCAACAACGAAAAAAGTTCCTTATCATCTACTATAACCAAAGAAGGAATTATGCTTCAACATCATTAAATGAAATTATAATTCAGTTTTTTTTCAATTCTCTACCAAAAATGAAATCTCGCTGTTGTTAAGCATCTACATCTAAAATTAATTAAATTAATTGGTTTATTACAAAACTAATTATTGAAAATTATCATCTAGCAAAAGTATGTTTGCGAAATTTAAAGATAATCTAACATCAGGAAGTGACTCAAAAATTGATTGCAAGATTTGATGCCCACAGACAACAAACAAATAAACTGAGACGACGAGCTAATAAAAGCATTGCTAAAAATAGCAAGAATAGAATGGTCAAAGATAATAATGAACCATTATTTGTTTTTCTCTATTTTTATCGCAAATCAAAGGTATATTCATTAACTCAAACAGGTAAATATTAGATGTAAGATAATATTTTGCTTTTTTTGTAGTTCAATTCATTAACAAATATTTAGTAATAGTTGGCCATAATAGTGTTATAATTCTGATATATAAGAATCAGAATTAAAACAATATTATTGCTAACTCGTTTTTAATAATTCGTAATTTAATTTTGACTGAAGTGAATTAGAAAACCGAAAAATTAGGAAGCTAGACGTACACACGTGAGTGGTTAAAGTATGCTTTTATATTGAACAATATATACATCAGAAAAAGATAAGCGTGTTTGTTGTTTTAATAGCTCAGATTTCAATATGTTGCTCTGCAAAAAAAATGTCATGCCATACAACATAAAGTATTAGGAGGAAAGGTTTTTAACAAAACTTTATAAAATAAAGCCATACAAAAGTATCTGTCCAGGGCATCCCAGTAAAAAAAAGACATTGAGCCGTTGTTGTATTTTGGTTGGATTTTGTTCGCGACGCAAGTTAACTTAATTCCAACGATGTTCCAAGGTTGGCATAACGGCATTATTCTAACGTTTGCAATCAAACGTCGGAGGAACGTCGAAAAAACGCTATCATCTAACGTCTTAAATGTTAACATTAAAACGACGTTAAAACAGCGTTGGTTGTTTAACTTAAAACCAAAGTTAGTCTGATTAACGATAGAACGACTTTGAAACAACGTTGTTTTTTTTACGTTTTAACTTTTGGCATCAAAGCATCGTCAGCACTCTAACGTTAACACAACTTGATTTTACAAAACAAAAAAAAACTTAAGCAAAATGGTTGAAAACCCGTTATCGAAAAACATGTGATTTTTTAAATTTTTTATTATACAGTCGAGTGATAATAAAATAACATGTTTTTTGTTATCAAAAAACATGTTATTTTATTTTCTCTTTTATTTATTATATATCTTTATTAAAATTTAACAACTTTTGAATTTCAAAAGTTGTTAAATTTTTGTTATATTTTTGTATACATAGTATATTTAACATTACTTTTATAGTAAAAGTTTTTAACATAAATAATATTTCACATAATATTTTATTTACTTATAAATAATGCAATAATGGGTTTTTTTAATATCCATTATTAAACTATTTAATAGTTTAATTAAACGTCAATAAAAATATAGAGTTTTTTATGACATTCAATTCAGCTGTTTTAATAAATAATATATTTTTATTTATTTGAATGGAAAATTTATTTGTTTCTTGTGGAACTAATTTAGACTAGAAATTACCTAATAAGCTTCTTTATAACTTAGGTAATGTAATTCTTATACGATTTTGTGTAAAGATATTTTTTTATTCAAGATTAGTATTATTTTTTATTGTTGTTCACCTCCGCGTTATTACCAGGGGCATGTTAGGGATAGAAATCAGAACTTCTCACTATGAAGCAGTCGAAAAACATATCCTTAAGAAACAACAACAGAACATCTAAGTTTAACACCAGAACTTAGTCATAATAAAAATATTTTTTTTTGAATCAATACACACACAGTTTAACATTATACTTACTAAGTCAGTATTTAATTTTCAAAATGAATCACTATCTCATATTTCTTAATCTAAATCATTTACAATCAATTACAACTTATGTCATCCAATTTATTCAGCCTATAAATGTTTTTTAACGTTTTGGTTGCAGCATAACAAATTTGTTATTTAATAATTCAAATGTTTTAAAATTTTACTTTTGTTACAAAACTTAGTAAATGAAAATGTTTTTATATATATATGACTTTGCCATGATTTAATTAGAGTTACTTATTTAATAGTTTGGGTTTCTTAAGACCTTACATTGACTTGGTTTTTTAAGGCTTGATCTTGTTGAATGCAGTAAAAAATATAAATAGATAGATATCATCATATATAAATATATGATGATATCAAAATCAACTATGTGGTGAAAGGCTAATTCTTTGATTACCAGTTTATTAGAAAACTATAATTATTGAAACTTAATTAGTGATTTTTTTATTTAGCCGATTCCAATAGTTTTTATGTTTTTGTAAGTAATTCATGTTATCTTTAACTTAACTCTCTTTAAAAAGTGTTGATTCTAGTAAATTTTTTACCCTGATGATTGTCCTGATTTTTAATGTTTCAACCTTGTCCAGTGTCAAACAAAGATTACGCAAGTGGTTTGAGATATGGTTGAGTCTTGCAAAGAAATTAAAAATCAAACTAATTTTATTCTAAGTTAATGTTTATAATTTTAAAATTTTGAAACAATGTTTATTTACTTTTAATTTTTGTTTTCAATTATTTGCCCGGACTAATATAAAAAATCTTGTATGACCTTAATAAATAAAAAGAAAAAATAATTTCTTAGTGCCAAGTTATACAGTGTAAAATTGTGTTTTATTGTTTTTTCAATTGAGAAATAACATCAAAAATGTTAGAAAAACGTTGGACGACGTTTTTCTCACAACGTTTTGCAAACGTCGTCAATATAACGTTGACTTACGTCTCATTTATGCCATTATTCCAACGACTAAACAACGATGAAAAAGACTTTGGCTCCACTTCATTTTAGGAAAAAAAATATAACGTTTGTCTAACGCCTTTTAAACGTCTTTTTTCTTTAAATTTAACGTTACTCTAACGCCTTCCCGACGTCATTTAGCTAAAATGTAACGTTGTCACAACGCCATTTAACATCGTTGTAATAACGTTAGCAAAATGACGTTTTCCGCTGTTTCATTTATAACATCAAGGTCTTTCCAACGATACAGAAAACGTGGGAATAACGTTGTCCCAACATCATGTTTCTTATTGGGATGCCATTGGAGACAATATGTTAAATAGCATATAATTATTTTAAAAAAAACACCTCAGAAAGAGTTTAAGATAATTAACAAAAGAACAAACTTTCTTTAAGAAAGAGATTATTGGTGTGCATTGCTACAAAGAAAATGAGTCATAATTTAATAATAATTCAAATTTATCAATAATCAAAATTAGTTTATGATTTGTAATTGGATCGAAACTAAAAAATAAATGTATAACATTCCACAAGTTTTAAAAAACATTTTTCTATATATTTTAAAAACTATTATAACAACACCTCTCACAAATAATTAAATTGTTATTAGTATTATAAAAAGTAAAATATTTTTTTCAGACGCTTGAGATGTCATAAACTTTTGTTTGGTACCAAAGATTATTTTCTGTTCACCTTATGCTTTTTAAAAAGCAAAAAACAGTCTTGACACTATTATATTGCTATTAACCAAAAATTATGATCACAATAACAGCAGACAGGTTTTTTTTAATCTTTAGTAATTTAAATTTTCTTTTAACAAAAAAATTTTTCTCAACTTCAAGAAAAAAAAACTGAAACTTAAGTTTAAAACAAGAACCACAGAAGTCTTGAAATAAATAACAGAAATCTTAAAAGATAACTTAGATTGCCAATATTAGTCAAGCATATGTTTTTTAGACTATATTTAATTAATGTGTAAAGTTGATTATAACTGTCGGGGAAATCTTTTCTAAAAAACAGCTGTACCAATATAATGGAGAAACAACTGTTTATCAAATATGAAATTGTTGTTATTTAAAATAAAAGATACTGACTCAATAATAAACTCAGATAAATCCAGAATTTTAAAGCATGTTTTCAAAGATTATGTAATATACTAGTATAGAGGGTAACGATGTCACATGTCACTATACGAGTTTCTAATGTATTTTTTATGTATTCATATATATAGAGACAAAAAAAAACTGAGAAAAAATATTTATTTCTAATAACAAAGCGTTCTTTACAAAAAAAAAATTTTCTAATAACAAAATATTTTTGTTTGTGTTTTAGAAGATATTTATTGGTGTTAAAAGTTTTTATATACTATACTTTAAAAATAATTTAGTTTACCAAAACATTCATGAACTTCAAGGTTGTTACCAGGACACCAGTCTTTGATATTTGTTGCATTACACTGTCTAGTTCTGTTCATAAATCCATATCCATAAGAAGCATCACAAAGTGACCAAATGCTCCATTCTCCCCAATATACTAAAATTGTAAACTTAATTATTAAAAATATTTGATAAAAAACTGTTATTGATAAATTTGATTTGATAATAATAATAAAAATAATAATAAAAATAACAATAATAATAATAGTAATAATAATAATTATAATAATAATAATAATAATGCTAAGGACTTTCTCTCATCATCATCATCATCATCATCATCATCATCATCATCATCATCATCATCATCATCATCATCATTATCATCATCATTGTGATCATTGTCATCATCATTATCATCATCATTGTGATCATTGTCATCATCATCATCATCATCATAATCATTATAATTATCATTATCATCATCATCATCATCATCACCATCATCATCAAGCATCATCATTAATACCGATATCATCATTACTATCCTGTTTTACAGAACACTTTTTTTTTTTACAGGTACTTTTTTAACTGACAAATTCTATAAAAAAATATTTTAAAAAATTAATTGTTATACCAAAGCATGGTTTAACTTCAGAGTTGTTACCGCAACACCTAGATACATCAATGGAATTATTGCATTCTCTTGTTCTAATTATATATCCATAAGAAACATTACAAATTCCCCAATCACTCCACTGCGACCAAGCAGCTAATAAAAAATATTAAATTTAAATATGATAAACTGTATTCTTCCTAAGATATGACATTTCACCTAAAATCTGACTATGAAAATTCGACTAGTTATAAGCAACTTTTTAAAACAAAAAATTAATCAAAAAAATATGAACGTTTTTTAAGTTTTTATTCAACAGTGAGCATGTATCTTTTAAGAAAACAGTAGTGAAAAAAAAAAACAGGTTTTGGATAAAAATTCCTTTTAATCATTATAATAGTAATAAATGAAAATCATAGTAATGAATGAAATATAAACGAAATAATAAAAATACACATATATTTAAAGAAAAACTATATATTTTAAATTATACAACACAAAAATTGTGCAAAAAAATAAGAAAAACAATTCACAACATGGGTTAAATCAAGGTCAAAAAAAAAGTGCAAATTTTTCGTCCAATTAGAACTAAATATTATACGTAAATGATTAAATTTTTTTAATACAAGTTATTCTTTGTATTCCAATACCGCATTTTATCTTGAATATAATATTTGATAAGTTCTAGTGTAAATACGATACCAATCATCTTGTGTTATTGCCATTGTTTGTCTTTAGTTTTTTCTAAATATATCCCCATAAGTATTTATGTAACAATTTTCCTCAGGTTTTACACGGAGTTTAGGAACTTTGGTGCTAGCCTAAAACCTTTATTTTATTTTAGCCAATTTTTGGCAGCAATGGAGTATAAATATACCACCCTGTTATGTATTTGTCAAGAAGAAAAAACTTACAATCATCATTTATAAAAAACTTAAACGACCAAAACAAAAAACATCAAACTTAGTTTAATTATCATGCTGAGAAAAAATTATCATCATTAGATAAAATGTAGCTTGAAATTTACTTATACTGTCAATAACGATACCATTGTGTGGTGAAAACATACAAAAAATATAAAACAAATGTTAAAAAGTATTTAGTATTTTAAAGAAGCAAATAACCAAGTTCGCTCTAGACAAAAATACGCTGTATAAAATATGTTTAAGCGTAAATCGTATAACACCTTCAAAAGATCTTTTTAGTAATTTATTTATACTCAATTTATATTTACTAAACTTTTACCAAATAATAGTTTTATGTATAAACCTGATTTAAAAAAAGACACCTGCAATAATTAATAAATTTTTTAATAAAATTTATTTTGCTCATAATTCACATTTTCAATATTGAGCTGAATTTAGCCCTACGGTCACCAAGTTCTATACTGCAAAAAGAAGAAGTAGACCCAAATTATTGAATTCTATTTACAATAATGAAATAAAAACTTCTATGTCGTAAGAGAAATGACGAGTTTAAGCAATGCGACGACAAACAAGGATAAGTAATGCAAATTTATTTTTATTGTTTTTATTTTTTATTTTACTTGTTAATATTGATTAAAAATTATTAAACGATCAAATAAAAAATGAGTTTAACTAACAAAAATAATATGACAACTAATATTGAAAACTTAGAGTCTCCAATTTTAAATATTTTTGCAAACTAACAAAAAGGATATAGCTTTTTTTTTAAAACAAAAAATTAATCAAAAAAATATGAAAGTTTTTTAAATTTTTATTCAACAGTGAGCATGTATCTTTTAAGTAAACAGTAGTGAAAAAAAAAAACAGATTTTGGATAAAAATTTATTACTATTATAATTGACTGAAATAAATAAAAGTTGTCTCAACAACTCATACTATAAACAAGCTTGGTCGGGAAGCGGGTGCGATCACACTCGATAATTGACCACAGAAATTATATTTTGTTGCGAAAAACCGGCCAGATTTTTTAGTCGTTTTGAGAACATTTTTTAGTCGTTTTAAGAACATTTTAAAAACAGTTAAAAAAAGAGCAAATATTTGTGAAACGTTGCTCTTTTATAATTTTTTTTTATAAAATTAAGTGATACTTTTTATATAAAGTAGCAACTTACTATCAATGATTGTTTAATAAGGAAACAAATGTTCTTCGATTTATCAAAGAGTATATACAATTTTTATTTATATACTTATGTTATATTTCCAGTGTTGGATTGAGGAGATGGGGAGGGGAGGGGGAGTAGAAGGGCTATAGCCTCGAGACTCACAATGTTAGGAGCCACGAAATAGTCAAGAGGACGATTCGGTATTTTTTTTAGTCATTTTTACGCTGTGGCACATAAAAAAGGCTGTCAAAATAATGCAGCCCCTGAAAAGTCCAACAAGATTCAACCAATAAAACTAACACTAGATGATTTATTCATAAATAAAATAGTTTTTTCAATAACTGTTTTATGCTTTGCTTAGTTTGAAAAGTTTAACACATTTGAAACAATTTTTCTTAGTAAGGAGGACAAATGAAATAATCAAATCATTTAGTAACTGTAGATATTCAATTAGCTAAATAGAAATCAACTAAAAAATGTTAATTTACTATGTGAGGTGGAAACGGAACTGCTTCACTATAACACTAAGGATGTTTATTGAGTGGGTTTTACAATCTTAATTAGTATTTACAACAGAAAAAAATAACTTTAAATTTAAGTATAACGAGTTTGTAAGAATGGCTGAAGCAAAATTAATTGAAGTTAGTAAACCAATTTCTAAGAACTTAAAAACTTTTCTTTCTTGAGGGAAAGAATCAGTTATCGGGTATACTGTGGAAAATGTATTAGTGTTTAAAATTATTTGTATTAACTTTAATGATTATTAATAATTTCATTAAAAAACGCAGTTATTATTAAAAGTACTTTTGTTTACAAAATCAATTGCACAAAATGCTTTAAAAGATTACATTTGAATAAAATACACATACATAAAATAACATGCATAAAAATACATTATTATGCATGTAACTTATTATTTTTTTTTTTTTTTTTGCTTTTTTTTTTTTTTTTTTTTTTTTGCTAATTTTGGAAATTATTTTTTATATATGTAATGTATTTTTATGTATGTATTTTTGTGCATGTAATTTTATGCATAATAATGAATTTTTATGCATTCATAATAATACATTATTATGCATGCATAATAATACAATACTATGCATGCATAATAATACAATACTATGCATGCATAATTATACATTATTATGCATGCATAATAATACATTATTATGCATGCATAATAATACATTATTATGCATAAAATTACATGCTTAAAAATATATACATAAAAATACATAACATATATAAAAAATACATCCCTTATATAAAACATAAAAATATACTAATACAATCTGTAATATATTTACAAAACGTTGACAAGTTAAAAAAGTTAAACTTAAAACATTTATTTTTGTAAACAAATAACGTTAGTTTAAAACATTTATAGCTTTGTAGATGTGGCTCCGAGAATTAAAATAATAGTTCCTTTGGTAGTATATTCTTAAAACAATTTATGCTAGAAATCTCAACGAAAACTTAGCAAAACTCAGTTAATACAATTTTTTAAAATATTTCAACTGAATACTCTAGAAAATTCGCTTTGTATTTTTTGAACTAATAGAATTAGGTTTGGCGGTTTTTTTGTGTTCGCAAATATTCTTTTTTTATTTTTCCGCACAAAGATATTTGAGAATATTCAAGTTTTTATATGTTTCCATGTATGTCCGTAAAACAAAATACTTTAAAAATTACGATAAAATAATAAACTTAATTAAAGAAACATACATAAATTCAAATGTTCTCAAAACGGCTAAAAAATCTAACCGGTTTTTCGCAACTAAATATTATTTCCGTGGTCAGTTATCGAGTGCAATCGCACCCGCTTCCCGACCAAGCCTGACTATAAACCTGACGAGTTTAATAGAGAAAAAGAAAATAAAAATTTTGGTATTTTAAGTATAAATATGCGACTAATAAATAAAAACTTTGAAGTATTTAAACATTTTTATTATTTTAAAAACTATCTTTTTGATGTTATATGTATCTTAGAAACATGGGAAGATGCAAAACTCCTTTTCAGAAAATTTTTTGTATAGTTTATCATTTTATAATAAATTGTACAAAGAATTTGTACAATTTGATTTAATAGGAAGATGTCTATTCCTCTGCGCGTTTAACAATTTTTCGAATACTTTACAAAATGCTTATGACAATGTCTGCCCAAAACTTAACACTGAAATGAAAAACAAGCAACTTAAAACTAATGAATGACAATTATCTTGATAAAAGCATCAAGGAGAAAAAAAAAACTTTACATAAAATTTATAAAATCTAAAAAAAAAATTACAGAAATGCGTACAAATTATATAAAAGGTTTTATCAAAATAATTTAAAACAAGCTAAAATAAAGTACTATTCTAACAAGCTGGACAAAATAAGTTTAATATCAAAAAAAACTTGGTCTTTAATAAATGAAGTAACTGGAAGAGAGAAAAGAAACTATCTAGCTTACCAAAAAAAGAAATTAATAAAAACAAAACTATAACAAGTGAAAAAAATAAAAGGCATGCTATCGGAAAAATCTGCCCACCTTTTGCGGTGTGGTAAAGCTAGTTTACGGTCTTTTTTTGAAATTTTTTTTTGTGTGTAGTAGTGTTTGTATAATAGACCATTTTGGCAGAAAAAAATAATTATAAAATATTATTTAGTTTCAAAATGTCAACTAAACAAACTAAACCAAGATTTTTGATTAGTTTCGAACATTTTAAAAACACATACACAAATACAAACCAACTTACATATATTTCAGAAATTAACAAAGCACTAAAGGCAAGATTTTTGATGTAAGTATGTATGTAAGGGTGGGCCGAAATATTTTTTTTTCTGATTTTTGATTTACTATACCTTTATTATACGGAAAACATGCTTCAAGGGTATCTAAGGAAAATGCTAAACATATAATACCAATATTTTACATCTGGAGCTAGCGCATCGTAGTTTAATATTTGAATAAATACTCAAATATTCAAGAACATGCTTTTTATCATTTTCGTAACAAAGTGCGCTTTCTTGCCACAACAACATGTTTTGATTATATTTTATTTTGATTATTTGATAATAATAACCA